GTATTTCTGCTTCTTAGAGACAGATGCATCATCTGGATGCTCACCTCCTTGTTTGAAGCATCTATACCAGAGAACAGTCCCACCAAGCACACTGTTCAACACCCCAAATTATTTAACTGGGGTTCTGAAAAGAACAGGGATAGTGGAGGGAGAAATCTTCTTGCAATGGCATGTTTGCTTACTATATTTCTTCTGGAAATTTCTGCTTTATGCATAACCGTCGATCTCTTTTGGACTCTGAACAGCAGAAACATTGAACTGTTTTTTGTTTTTGTTTTTTCTGGGGGTCTGGTCGTGCGGCCTGAACTCTGGGCCTGGGCGCTGTCCCTCAGCTCTTCAGCTCAAGGCTAGCACTCTACCACTGAGCCACCTTCCCAGCCCATGAACTGTTTTTCCTTTAGGCCTCTTTTCCCCCTTTTCTCCCTGACTTCTGCTCTGTGTCAAATGATGCTGACTAGAACTTTCCACAAGAGTGGAAACTCTTTAAAATACAACAAGGAAAAGGAGAGAAAGGCAGGGAGTCAGTTGGCCCAGCAAATGAAACTTTTCCTTGTTTCTCAGAGTTAAGTGGATGATAGTTTTTCATTCAAGAAGCATAGTCATCAGCCCACACACAGTCCTCTAGTTTTGCTTTTTAAATCTCCTTCTCCTACTTCTCTTCTTTCTATTCTCCAAGATAACCATCCTAATGTATGTTTATGCATCTGATTTTTTTTTTTGCATCCGGTGTGGGGCCTGAACTCTGGGCCTGGGCGCTGTCCCTCAGCTCTTCAGCTCAAGGCTAGCACTTTACCACTTGAGCCACAGCGCCACTTCCGGCTTTTTTCTTTTTGCTTATGTGGTGCTGAGGAATGGAACCCAGGACCTCATGCATGTAAGGCAAGTGCTCTACCACTGAGCCACCTTCCCAGCCCCAATGCATCTGATTTTTTAATATCTGTTCTGTGCACACATTTTAGTTTTACAAACAGTGCTTATATAGCTCAGCTCCTTCTTTGTCTCTTTTAGTTCCTTCTTTGTCTCTTTTAGCCCCATCATTCTAGAATCCACCCATGCTTTTCTGTGTGCCTTTAGAGCCTAGCTTCTGATTTGAGTGGTTACCTGCTCAGTTAGGTGTATACTGCTACATTTTCCTTGCTTCCTCACCAAGTCAAGGGTCTCCAACTCCCTGATGCCACAAGGCTATGAAGAAGTCTTGTAGAGCTCACCCTTACCTACGGGTGTAAGAATTTTGCTGGAATGGATATACACAGAGATGGATTTGTAGGACTATTTATACAATCATTTATATTTGCTAAACGTTTCTGATGTCCTGGAAAGAACAATAAGGACATCCACAGAGAAAAGAGCACTTTCATATGAATGTATACTCAAATCCCAACCAGATATGGTGGCACACACCTGTAATCCCAGTACATAACAAATCCCAACCAGGTATGGTGGTACACACCTGTAATCCCAGTACATAACAAATTCCAACCAGGTATGGTGGTACACACCTGTAATCCCAGTTTCTTGGGAGATGAATGTAGAAGGATATTGGTCTGAGAACCTGCACAGGCAATATCAGGAAACACTATGAAAAACAAACGAAAAGCCCAAGAACTAGGGGCTTAGCTCAAGTGACATATCACTTGCCTAACAAATGAGAGGCCATAAATTCAATCCCTTGTATCCAAAAATGACAAAATAAAATTTTTTTAAAAAACAAGTTACAGGTGGATAAGAAAAACAACTCCTAATGCCCTACAGCACAGTAGGTTAACTATGTTTGATAACGGTTAATTGCTTATTTCAAAATAGCTAACAGAGAAGATTTTGAATGTTTACAGCACAAAGAAAATGATACACATCTGATGTGGTAGATATGTCAATTACCCCAAGCTGATCATTGAGATATCACTCTGCACCCCATAAATGTATATAACTGCTATGTGTTGATAAAAAAAAAACCTATTAAGACAAAATATATTAAGAACAACAACAACAAAAACAAATCATGGGTCACACCACGAACAGACAAATTTATATACAGAAAGCAAATACTTGAATGCTTAGGAACTGATGCCAACTGACGACAAATGAGAAATGAAAATACACGTTGGAATAAAATTGTAAGTCACTGGGGAAAGTAGTTGTGATTGGTTTGGATGTGCAGATCCACATTCTCCATGGAGCTTCCTGGATCTACCTTTGCTGTAAAAATATCCATCAATAAATAAAAGGCACAATACACCTGCCTCCCCTCACTCCTCTGGTCCCAGGAGTCTTGCTTGACCCAGGTCCACAAAGTTGCAGGCTGTTCCTTCCGTGTCTCTTTTATGGTGGGGATTCTATTTTCATTCTCATCTCAGCTGCCTCTCCAGGTCTGTAGTCCCATATTGACATCAACTGCAAAATTTCATCTTGCACCAGGGCTGTTCTGGAGTCACTGGGGACAGCGGGTGCATGATCTACAGCTTCTCTCACTTCTGTCCAACCTTTGCTCCTCATCCTTCATCTCCACCCCCCACCCCACATCCATCAAGAGCTCAGGCAACCTCCCTGGTCAAATCTAAACCAAACTACTCCTCTGGGAGCCACAGCAGGCTCTTATTTGGAAGAGGAGGCTGCCTGCTGCAAGGTCCCTGCTTCTGGGCTCCATTTGCATGAGTAAAGAGCTCTGAAGGGTTTGGTTTGAAGCTTTTATGTAAACACTCTCCGAAATATGTTCTGCACTGCATTACCCCTAGCAATAAAGATTCTGGAATCAGAATTTGGCTGTCACTTTTATTGATGTTGCATGGGGTACAGTAGAATACAGCTTTCTCTTCTGGAAATTTATTGGCTTGGCAGTGCAGCGAGTAATAAAACTGTGTTTTTAATCAGTAAGCCAAGCGGACATGATTCCAGAAGAAATATAGTAAGCAAACATGCCATTGCAAGAAGATTTCTCCCTCCACTATCCCTGTTCTTCTCAGAACCCCGGTTAAATAATTTGGGGTGTTGAACAGTGTGCTTGGTGGGACTGTTCTCTGGTATAGATGCAGTTTGGATTACAAAATTCTGGGCTGTGTCATCTGTGGGAAACTGTGGAACAAAAGCTTTTTTCTGAAATTTCTTTTCTTCCTTCCTTCCTTCTTCCCTTCTTCCTTCCTTCTTTCCTCCTCCTGCCTTCATTTATGTATGTATGTAGTTATTTATTTTGTCAAAGACCCAAACTTGAAGGTAATGTCTGATGCATCACACTCAGTGGTAGGCCACCTTACCACCTGAACCACGCCTCCAACCCCACTTGCTTTCTTTTGATCAAGGCTGGCACTCTACCACCTCAGGGACAGCTTCACTTGTAGTTCTAAGGTTTGTTTTTGTTTATTGATGGTTAATTGAAGATAAGGTTTTTTTTTGTTTATTGATGGTTAATTGAAGACTTTCTTGCCCCAGGCTAGCTTCAAACTGTGTTCCTCAGATCTCAGCCCTTTGAGTCACTAGGATAACAGGCATAAAGTACCAGCACTTGGCTTGAAATAAACTTTCGAAAACACCTATACATTAGCTTCAAGGGAAGAGCTGCTGGTAAGTGAGAGGAACAAAAGAGTGAGACATGCTTCCTTCCCAGAGAAGCAGGGCCACCACACCTTCCCTCCACCGTTCTTTATTCAAGCCAGGGTTACACCGTGGAAAGGGCATTCGGAGTCAGTCTGCTAGATGGTCATGAGTGACTTAATCCTCTCGTGACATAATTTCTTCTGCTACCAAAAGGAATAAACGCTTCACAACATCATGATGTAGATAAAATAAGGTTGTGAGCAAGTGTCCATATCTCACACAGTAGCTGGCACTCATAGCAACTCCCTTCTGACATCTCCATTGAACTCTGCTCATCAACAAGGAAGCATTCTTTCCTTGTAATTTCGGTCAACCCTGCTTCTTCAGCAAGATGTGATCTCTTGCCTTTCTCTTCATGTTCCTCCCCTCTCCTATTCTCTTGGTTCCTGTCAGTCATTAAGCCCAAATCTCTAACCACTGCCAAAGTTTAATCAATAGCTGATTGTTCACCCTTACCTTGCAGAAGCTTTCTCCTGAGTTACCTCAACCTTGAGTTCCTTTAAGACTCACATATTATCTTCTTACCGGTTTTGGTATGGCTGTCACTCTTTTCCCAACTATGACATCTTAAACAGCTTTTATCTCCATTTTTAAGAATATGTAGGCTGTCAATGGAGCTGTGCACATTTGAAGGAAGTGCTCTCATAGACATTCTCCCAAATGACTTGAGATGTCCAAGTGAGTTGGGTAACATTGCACAGGCTGCCTGAGGAAGGCACTGTGGGGCAAGGTGGGAACATGGCTCAGCGCATCCTCCCTTCCCTTCCCTGCATGTCTCCCCTCTTGTTCAGCAATAACTCTTCTGTGGATGCTAAGCTGTGCCCTTAACATTAGCTATCATATTTACTCGCTACCACAATTCTGTGAAATAGGAATTATTATTCTAATATTATTGATGAAGGAACTGAAGCAGACTACTGAAGTAGCATGCTGGGGTTACATAGCCAGGGAGTGGGGCAGTGGGGATATGATTCCAACATTGATGATGTTAACCACCAAAAGACACATTCTTTTATAAACATCAAGAATAAGTCATCGTGTATATCTTAACTGATACAAATTAGAATTCTCAACCTGAATTGCTGTTAACTCTATAGACAGACAGACACATACACATATTATCATAAATGTACAAGGCACACTGTCTTAAACTTTTAACTCTTTTTTTGTTGTTGTTGGTTGTGGGGTTTGAACTCTGGGGCTGTGCACTGTCCCTCAGCTCTTCAGCTCAAGGCTAGTGCTCTACCACTTGAGCCACAGTGCCACTTCTGGCTTTTTTTGCTTATGTAGTGCTGAGGAATTGAACCCAGGGCCTCATGCATGTGAGGCAAGCACTCTACCACTGAGCCAACTTCCCAGCCCCACCTTGAACTCTTTTTAACAGTTTAAGGATTTTCTTTTTTCTTTTGTAGATCGCTCACCTATCTCCCTGTCAAAGTAATTCCATCTCAAGCTTTCAGAGGACTTAATGAGGTCATAAAAATGTAAGTAAGATACTGCATATCAAAAGACATTCATAATTGAAATAATGAATTTTTCTAAGAGAAAACACAGTTGAAAGGGGATAATTTTTCTAGGAAAGAAATTGTATTTAGGAAACCCAAGTATTTTTATCTTTGTAATACAAAATAATATCTAGCTGCCTTTGAAGAAATGGCATGATTTTCAAGAGTCATTAAAACCCAGATAATTAACCTTGCTTCAAAGAACTGAATGCATTTTGATAAGTGACGATACACTTTTTAAGTAGAAAAGAGATAGATTCCAATCATGAAAATTCCCCTTTGGGTAAAGCAGCTATTATTCCCTTGTGTCACAATTTTGGATGGTTCCCACATAGTAGAAAATGTGCTGGAAGTTTACAGTGCATCAGAAGATAATCCTTGTGTCTAAAATGTAATAAATAGACGACAAAAACACAGTGTTTATAGATGCGTGGATGGAAGGCCTTTACCAAAACTGTAAAGCAGCCAGATAATGCAGTGTGATCTCAGATTTGTCAGGTGTAATTTCAGTCATTTGGTTTCAGCTTCTGGAGCTCCAAACCACATATGTGGAGAGAACTTACTCGGGGAAGAAAATGCTCCAGCATACTCCTGAATGTGAGCCTGAGTCAAAGGATCTCAGTAACCACTGCTTTTCCTCAAAGGTGCCTCTAATCTTCACAATCCACAGAACTTGCAACCTAGATTTGTGTCCCACTATCTTAGCTCCTTGGGGCACCTCTGCCCAAACTTAGGACATTAGAAAATGATAAAACTATTTTAAATAACCCCTCCAGTGTGTATCATAGAGAATTCACTATAGGGTACAGGTACATCAGTTTGCTGGAGCCTAAACCACACTCTTTTGCTCTCAAGTTAAAATGTTGAGTTTTGACGACTATTAGTACATTTATACCTCCTGCTAAGAAAAGCATCCAAAGTTAAACAAGCAAGCCATTAGGTAGGAATAAGATGAATCTGCCCTGGAGCAATTCTGCCCAAGGTTCTGCCTTTTTGTGGGCTAAAGCTCTCACCATCAGAAGCTTCGGTGAATCGTTAACTTAGAAACACACAGGATGTACAATTGTAAAGTCAAGACTCTTTTCTCAGCTGGTAGGAAGAGGTGGGCTTTTAGAACAACAGTGATATTACCAGCATACTTGGGGATTGTATTGGACAAAACTAATCCCTTTACTTTTTAAATAATCTGTTCAATCACCAGTCACTTGATTCATTTATTCATTCACTCCCTTAACTATGTCAGGTGACAGGAAGCCACGAAAGATTCAGAAGGAAATAGAATGTATTCCTTGTTGGAAGTAGAGTTGTGGCTCAAATGATAGAGTACCAGCCTTCTGTGAAAAAGCTAAGCAAGAGTGCCCAGGCCCAGAGTTCAAGCCCCAGTACCAGCACACACACACACACACACACACACACACACACACACTTTGTTCTTTAATCTATTCACAGAGTGAGATAGATTGTCAAGGAAGAGGATTATTATTACTATTACTATGTGTAATCACCTTGAAGTGGCCTCAGAAGACAGTTTTGGAAAACCCTTAAGAATTAGGAAACAAGGAGTCATATAGATGGGGAAAACCTGATCAAAGTACATTATATGCATGTAATAAATATCACAATAAAATCAAACTGTATAATTAATTTATGCTAATAATTTTTTAAAGAATGAAAAATTAGTTCAACCCAGAATACAGCCTCACAAGAGTGATATATCGGGACCCCAGAGATTCCCAACCCCAGTCTTGAACTTTCATACAAATACTACTTGCTTCTCCAGAGCTATAAAACAGGGAGACTGACCACATTTTCTCAAAGGGCCTATCACTACAAAGAATATGTGATTCTAAGTCATAGATAAACAAGTGAAACTTTCTGTCACATAAATAGGGTTACTGAAACTTGCATCTCAACTGCATCTGGGTTGTAGACACCCATCAGTGCTCCTAAAGGGAGATGTTAGTGCTTTATGATATAAAAACAACTTGCACGTTTCTGTGTGTGGTTTTTTATTTCAGAGACACACAATGAAGTCCCTTGTTGTTGGGTCTCATGCATAGCTCGTTATCATGCAGACCTGGTCACGTCTTTCATGTTTCTTCTCTTATTTTCCCTAGTGAAGTCTCTCAGAGCGATTCCCTGGAAAGGATCGAAGCTAATGCCTTTGACAGCCTCCTCAATTTGTCTGAAATGTAAGCATCAGCTAACAGATAGTTTATTGCTATACACGATTACCCTCCCTGGCTAGAGCCCACTCAGTATTTGTATTCAACCATCCACTGCTAGGAATCCAAGAAGAAAAGACTACAGCAATTACTAGGTCTGGGCAGGCACTAATTTCTCTCACTGCAGTGGCCTCCAGGTTGCCATGGTGACAACCGCTTCTCCCCAGGAGCTGTATAAACTCTGAAACATCACAACACAATGTTGGAAATTAAAATTGACATTGTGAAGTCCTGCCAAGTAGATCTTGCCTTATGCAAGGGAGTTTATGGAATATGTGGAACATTTGGAAAATTTGGAAAGAAGCTTATAGATCATGGATTTGTTTGTTGGAAGCTGTTCTAGCATATCCATACTTTCAAGTAAATGTTCCTTCAATACCTACCATAAAAATGCCCTGTGTTGAACTCATTGTGCCTTGTTAGTTTGGTGGCTGTCCTGTTTTAGAATTAACTCTTAAATGTAAGCCTTTCTAAATTATTCCCACCAATACTACCACCAATTCACAAAGGTGATTAGAGAAGACTAGCTCTATTCAGCATTTAGCCCAAAGGTTACTGAATTGCCTGATGACATATAGCAAGTTAGTGCTAGACCCAGACTAGAAACCAGGTCACATGATTGGTTGCCCCTTACTGGGTCTCTTACCACTACCCTGAGTGTTTGGAAGCATAGTCAAAAACCCCGAGGGGGGACATCAAGCGTAAGGGAGGGCAGCAATCAGTACCACGTGTTTTTTGAAGTCTTGTGCTTGACATTTCATATAGGTTGTATCATTAATCCTTACAACTATCCTGCAGAGTGGGATAATTGCCCTTTTCATCCAAAGCAAGGAATGGGAGAGGTGTGTGACTTGACCAGTGTGACACTTTAAACAATGACAGGGCAGGGATTCAACTCCTTGTCCATCTTTTTCTTCAAGGCTTGTGCATTTTCCACAAGGCATCCCTCTATAAATGGTCCAATGAGTAATTGTGTTAAGGGAATAATTTATCAATAAGTATGTGATTGTCCACCATGCATCACACATAATGCAGAGGAGCTAAAGTACAAACATTCACCGGGCCATGACAGGGTTGCCAGGGTGGTGAGACTTTTACAGAAAAATCTGAAGCCATGGGGTCTTTAAGTCTAAGAGGTTCAATCTGGACATGCTGTGAGGCAGAATTACTTAGAGCTCATTGCAGTTACAGATAACAGTGTTACTACCCCAGACCTAAAAATGTGCACTTTTAACAGATTTCCCAGGTAATGCTGAAGCACAGCTTCCATTAAGAATCACCACAGATAGCTAATGATAAATAAAATTCTCTATGATGCAAAGTCACAATTATCAACAGAAGGAAAAATAAAGTACTCCAAAGGGAAGTTTATGTATTTCCAAAGATGCCTCCTAAGCCTTGAACACTAGATCCCTTTGCTTTGTTCAGTTGCCCCGAATTTAGAATAGTGCATGACACATGTAGGTGCTCAGTTAAATATTTGCTAAATTAATGAATGTGTGGACAACTAGTCTAAGATCAGATCCCAAAGAGATACAAGTCCCTTCCCTCCATTCATATGACATCCTATCTGACCCATGATTGTTTGTGGTAGTTGAAAACATAATGAACAAAAAAGTATATCACTCACATCCAAAGAATCCAATGCTTAGTTTTATATTTTCAATGAAAATGGGCATCAGTGGTGGGCTATAATATGGTGTTCTTGGAGTCAGAAAAACTGGGTCATGTTCAAGTTCTACTAAGTTTCAACTGTACAGATAAATCTTTCAACTTCCTGATTTCAGCTCTAATAATTGCTAATGCTGGTTGAGGCCATGTTATGAATTAGACAGCCATATTTACTCCACAAAAATAACTCTAAGAGAAAATTGAGGCATGGAGTTAAGTGACAGATACAACAACATCACACAATTAATGAAAATCAAGATATAAAACCAACTTGGGCCTATTGTGCAGATTCGTCACCAATATTCCCACCCAGTACTTTTCTCCACATAACAGAATTGTTGTCATGTCCTCTAGTGAGTCCTGTTCTGGGTTAAATGAGCCATGGGTGTTTACAGGCCTTTCACTGACTCCAAAATAGATGGGACTCAACAATTGTTGTTACATCTTAAAGAGTCACAGTCACTGCAGAGTCAAGGAAGGACAATGGCTGCACTTTCATGCTTTGCCATCCCTGCCTCAGATGATCTCAGTCATTCTATTACATAAAGTTTACCAGCCTGTGAGTCAGGAAACATAGTCAGTATTATTTTTCCAATTTTACAGAAAGGAAAGCTACTCAGGGAGTTAGTCTGAGTATCACCTCACAGCAAACTATCTACAAATGAGCATAAAATTCCAAAAATATAAAGCATCTACCTCTGCCCTGTGCTGTTCTGCATTCGTGGGCACCCATGTGAGTAACTACTCAGTATGGTTGCCAGCTCAATAGGAAGAAGACTAGTTTGCTTTCAAGGGACAGTGGCTAATTTGCCCATCTCTCCTGGGGTGCAGAATTTCCCATCTCTCCCGGAGAGCAGGCTCCACAGTAGGGCAGGTTCTACTTGGCCTGGAACCTTAGATGCTGATAGGAGTTGGGGTGGGCATAACAGACTTTCAGCTATGATACCTACACCTGCCTCTTCCAAAGGTTGGAATGGAGCTTCCTGGGAGCAGCCAACAAGCCCCCAGCAAGCCATTTCTACCCTCAGTGTTTCAAGAGCTCCTCTCGAGCATATAAAATGCACTTCGTTTTGTTGATACTCTTTTCAGCCAGCAATGCCTGGTGCCCACAGTCTGCCACATTGCAACAATTCACATCTACTAAACTGCTGCTCTTTTCCCTTTTCTCTTTACAGACTGATCCAGAACACCAAAAACCTGGTATACATTGCTCCTGGTGCATTTATAAATCTCCCTCGGTTAAAATACCTGTGAGGAATTTTCCTTTTAGAGCATCTGGGGAGGGAAAAATGGGTATCTGACAACAAATCAAAACAATTCAAGGATTGAGGGGGAAAAATAGGGGTTTTTTTTGTTTTTTTATGCCAGAACTGGGACTTGAATTCAAGGTCTGGGTACAGTCCTTTAACTTTTTCTGCTCAAAGCTGGCATTTAGCCACTTGAGCCATACCTCCACTTCCAGCTTTGTGCTAGTGAGTTTCAGATGAGAGTCTCACAGACTTTCCTGCCCAAACTGCTCAAAGCACATTCCTCAGATCTCAGTCTCCTGAGTAGCTAGGCATAAGCCATCCGTGCCTGGGCTGAGAATTTTTTTAAACATATGCCTTTTTTTTTTGGCATGTTCCTCCAGTGTGGTCTTTTGATTTAAATTTAATCAGCTTTTCTTGTCAGCCACCATGCTGGCTGCTTTTACCTACATGTAAATAACTGCCAACATTTGCTCCTTCTGGAACATGGGAAAAGAACATCACCTCTTTGCAATGATCTTCAAAGTTGACACAGGGGGTTGTCGAGGGCGGGGGCTGGGGGCGGGGAGGCAACAAAATCTCTCAGGTGAGTGGACAGTAAATGAAAGAGAAGCAATTCTGATAGGCCCCTGACAACAGGCTGAGATGTGTCTCCTTTATCTCATTTGTTCACTGATTCAAGTGAAAAAAATTTTAAATACAGTCTTGACATGGGCACTCTGCCATGTAATCTAAGCCATTATTTTCTATTTCCCATTAAGTCTGAACTCAGGTTAAGTTAAGAAGGTAAAATTGTGTACCACTGGAGCCCAAACATCAATTGGCCTTGCCAGCCAAGCCCAAAATCTTGAGGTGATCAGACTGTAAATATATCACCATCGATCTTTCTACATATCAAGTCATTTCTACTCAACCAGAAAGATTTGCATCCTCTGAACACAAAGACCTTCTAACTCTTCTGTTTGATAAAATAAATTTCATAAATTCCCAAAGGAGTTAAGGAAGTCCACTTCCAAACCCTCCTCCTACCCCACCTCAACACCCCCTACCACCAATAAAGGGGAAAAAATTAAAAGAACAGAGGAGAAAGGAAGGGATAGCTCCCTGGGTGATCCATCCCCTCAGCCTTGTTTGCTCCTGGAGCTGGTCCAGCAATCTTATCAGCTCTACAACATCCAAACTCCTACACAAAGTCTGGTTGCACTTAAAATACTGCAGAATCAACCTTGATGAAAACAAAAGAACGGCCAAGAACCAAATCTGACCACTGTACCCCTTTATTATTGAAAAGTCATTTTCAGTATTAAGTAGCATCTTCATTCAAAATTGTGGTATCCCTCCAATCCAAGCCCACACATTGCAGTATGAAGCTACCTTGCCCTGCACAGCCACAGACGGTGGCATTTGCTCAGTCATTCAAAGAACTTCAAGTAAGCAGGAGAAGGAAAGGGGCAAAAGAGAAACCTGGCACCAGGAATCCTGAGCCCATTCTGGTGAATCAAAACATCAGTTTAGGGAAATCTAGATGCCTATTAACCTCTGAGGGAGGCTCATTCTTATCATAAAATATTCTTTAATGTTGTAAATTACTTAAGTCTCTATCTTCTTTGGAGGTTAAATAAAAAGGCAGTAGGAAAAAATAAAAGAGGAATCTTGAGTGCCTCCAAATACCAAAACAATGTTCAATGGCTTCAATGAGATATAAGGAAGAACTTTCTAAATTGTAACATAGCCCAAAGAAAGGAAGATTTTTTTTTTAACAATGACGGTATAGATTTCTCAGCAGAGATTAATCTTCCTGAAGTATTTGAGTTAAGACCTGCTCCAAAGGAGAAGGATTCTTTCTAAACCTATCAAGATCATGGACTAAACTAATTACCAGAAGGAAATGGAATACAATACAATAGGAAAATACACGGAACTTAATAGGGAAAGCCAGGCTGCAAATATACAAATGGAAAAGATCTGAAAGCTTGGTCTCAGCCCTTGATCTCTGAATAGGAGTCATTAGAGCAACTTCTCCAAATGGAGTAGGCCTTTAGATTCTGACAGTTCTCATCAACTGGAAGTATTCCTAGTAAAAGCTGAATGCAATATTAAAAAAAAAAAAAAAACAATGTGAAGATAGTATTTACAAAATGCCTTTCTTTTTTTGAAATCTTTATACCTTAATGACACTTTTCCCAATTCTGCCACATTACTATCCTGACCCGATTATAGGAGCATCTGCAACACAGGCATCCAAACACTCCCAGATGTTACGAAGATCTTCTCCTCTGAATTTAATTTCATTCTGTAAGTGCCGTGCTGATTGCTATGCATAACACTTTCCTATTTGCAGCTCAAATTTGGAAAGTAAATATTTCTCATTTCTTTCCTCCAGGGAAATTTGCGATAACTTATACATAACCACCATACCAGGAAATGCCTTTCAAGGGATGAATAATGAATCCATCACACTGTGAGTAAACCCCTGATTCTTGTGCTGCCACACAGCCTCCTGCTAATCTCGCTTTTAGCTGGAAGTGAGCATTTTCTCTTGTTTTACCACATTCTTCACTCACTGATGACGTTCTTCTTGACCTACCCTGCCAAGGGTGGCTGGCATCACGTGACATCACAGTGAGTCACGTGTTCACATGACAGCTATCCAACCAGTTCCATTTGCAATTCATCAGATGGGTTCTGAAGGCTTTCAGTACTGACTTGGTAATTGATTTTAAAAATAAGTTATAGGCCTCCGTGGGAGGCTCTGAGGCTGGGAAGAGACAGCTTATTAAAAGAGAAATTCCAAGATTTTAATTGAGTTTGGAAGGATGTTTTTCAAGCAGGTAGAGTAGCTACCTGCTCTCTCCCCTCTGGTTTCTAACCTTCCCTTTGGAGCTCTCTCACTTTGTTTCTTTTTTTTTTATTTTTAATTTAATTTTATTTTATTTGTGAACATACTGTACAGAGGGGTTACAATTACATGGGCAGGATAATGCGTACATTTCTTACCAAGC